GAGAAATTACATTTTATAGTAATTTAAAGGGTGGTAGCTCTTTAATCAATTAAAATATTAGTAAATAAAGTAGATAACCCTTAGCCAATTAAATTTTAATTCTTAGTTAGCGGATTGTCAACAAAAAGGTTGAGGCATTAGCTGTGCCGCCAGCCCGATCTTAAAAAAAGGTGCCGGATCGTCCGGGTACGAGATCCAAACCCGAGTATCAGACCCATCTCTAGTTTAATAATTCAAAAAAGTGTTTAAACAACGGAAAATTCGATACCTAATTAAAATTTATCGGCAATTAGCGGAAATTCGTTGTTTAACAGACAGAACCAGGTGTTAATGCTATTATAATGGAACCGTTTTAATGCTACAACAGATTTTGCGCGCCGTTAAGTGTAACATATTTATTAACAAACAACGCAACAATCATATCATTTACGCCCAGCAGCCTATGAAAACGTCTGAGCATCGAGAGCGTACATGTATGCAGCAGTCAATCTGTAAAACTTGGTATTTTACATAACGGCCAGGAAACTAATAAAACATAAGACTCAGTTTAAAAAAGATTGTTTCTGGTTTTTCATCTCCATTTTTGGTGTGAATTAGTCTTTTTAATTGGTATATTATACCTATTCCGTATGCACCAGCCTCTCATCTTAATTTTGACGTGTTTTTTTTTTAAAATTATTTCAAGTTTCTTACTTATTAAAATTTAATTTGTAATATCAACTAAAATACCTAGTAAATTAATTTCTGCTGGGATTTTATTTTTACAAATTCAGGTCCAAATTGTAATTTTTATTATTTTTGCTGACGAAGCAACGGGCTAGTGGGATAAATATTAGATATCGCTTTAATATTTAGTTAAATTTTCGTTTTTCGTTTTCTCCCTGTATAAAAAACATAAACCCTGAAAAGAACTCACTCGTAGGTAGACTGTTATGAGTTAAGTAGACGGTACCTAGTATTTGCGTATAGGTTCTAGCTACATGCACTATTAAAACAGGAGTACGGGAAGACTGGCCACACGACCCCTCCACCCCCACCCGCCATTAAAAAATAAAAATTATAGTCTTTGACTTTCGGATTTTGAAATCTAATGCAAGCAACACAAATAGCCAGTTCATACTTTGCTGTTTACATTACTAATTAATTCTAATTCACACGATTACCAACGACTCGGTCCATTCATGTTTCATATTCTCTGGAGAACAACTCGCAATTCATCATCAATCATTGTCCTGACGAAATTCTCATCATGCACATCGCAATAAAACTGTAATAACGTTAGAATAAATAGTGTAAAAATAACTGAGCCTTGTGGAACGCAAATTGATAGGACGACAGTAGTCGAAAATCAGGTCTGGTATTGAAGAAAAAGAGGTCCTCAAAAGATACGAAACCGAATTAATAGAAGGCAAGACAATCTTTTTCAACAATGAACACATTTTAAAACGTCTTCGAATGGATTCTATTCTTCTAGTTTTTGTACGTCTATAGAACCGGAGTCTGACGACTTTGGAATTTCTAGTACGCTTGATTTCGTTCGATCAAGAATAATCGTCCACGCCTATTGGACAACGGCGAAAATGCGGGACTAAAAAAAATGACACATTTGGAACACCGAAATGTTCCTTTTGCTACTTTCGTAATAAAGAATCTTTAAGAAGTACACACTTGAAAGTAAAATAAGTGATATTATAAAAATATGACATGTTTGTTGGGGGATATTCTATAGAATTACAAGAGGGGATATTCTATAGAACTACAAGTCAGGTTTTTAAAATTTGTGTCTATCCTTTGAGATAGATTTTAGAAATAGTTGAATTTATTACGTAACTTGTAATAATCTCAATTTTGATGTTTTTTTGAAGATTATTTCAAGATTCTTAATTATTACAATTTAATTTGTAATATCGACTAAAAAGAAAAGAAAAGGTTAGAAGCGTTCGAAATGTGGTGTTATAGGCGTATGATGAGGATATCGTGGGTAGAAAAGGTTAGAAATGAAGAGGTATTGGAAAGAATAGGAGAACAGAGGACTCTATGGAAGTTAATAAAAAATAGGCGAGATATGTTGGTAGGACACCTTCTCAGGCATGAAGGTCTAGTCAGAGACATATTAGAGGCAGAAACAGGAGTTAGGAGGGGTAGAGGTAGACCTAGATTAGATTACTGTTCGCAAACAGTTAAGGATGTGGGCTGTTCTAGTTTTAGGGAAATGCGAAGTTTAGCTCAGGATAGGAAAGAGTGGAGGTACGTGTTCAACCAGTCTTAGGACTGATGACCTTATGATGATGATCAACTAAAATACCTAGTAAACTTATTTCTGCTGGGATATTATTTTTACAAATTGTAATTTTTATTATTTTCGCTGACGAACCAATGAGCTAGTGGGATAAATTGTAAATATAGCTTTAATACTGAAGTAAATTTTCCTTTTCCATTTTCTTCGTGTATGTACCATCACTTAATTGATAACTGGGGTGGAGCCGTGGGGAAAAATTTAAACCATTTAAAATGCAAAAATTTTAGGTCCTTAGAATTTATCCTTTGGGATAATCAGTAGAATTATATATCAGATTTTCAGAATTTGTGTTCCTTTGGATAAGCCCGTGCTTTGAAGAAGTTTCTGGACTATGTTAATCTTCACTTTACGACTTAGAACAGCGATAGGTACAAAATGTAAATACATTTTGCATTTTAGAGTTTGAAGTAACGTAAGACCGTTGTGGCCAGCAACGTAGTGACTGACTACGACAGTCATTCTTCACCTGCGTGCCAAAATGCGTGCACCACGACGTGAACAAAATACAAAACACAATGTCATACTACGTATTATTATTAATTCTTCAAATCGTTGGCTGTCTGGACTTTTCACCACGATTTCAAGAAGTAATAAAACTTATACAGATAATAACAACAACAATATAACTGGCGTTATAAATAATTATTAAAAATAAAGTAAATAAATAGACAATGGAATGCGCAACGTACAAGACGAAGAACTTCTTCGTAATATTTTAAACGAAATGAAACACGTTTTCCAACAATGAAATGTAAAACCTGTTGCATTTTATATATCTAGTTATTTTAGTACACTGTTACTTCTTACTTACTTACGCAGAGGGTTCGTATAATAAAAATTTAAGCCGCGCGGTTCGTTTTTGGTATGTTGTTTCATAGTCAGTTTGAAAATAATGTCCATCATAGAAGGCTCATTGTTGTACGAAAAAAAAAAAAGACAACGAAAAACGTAAGCTCTAGGAAACAAAACACCGAGTCTCGTTGCCATAAAAGTACGTAATACACATATAAATATACATGTATTCATATTATGACCTGAAAATTACCTCGAAAGCTTTCTCACGGGCTGTAATTGCTACACTGCTATGTACGATTATTACCCGACAAGCTCGTTGTCTTAAAATCATTTCCAAAACTCGTTGGATCGTTGACCCACTACGTAATTATTTATTTGATGGATAGAAGTATGAAAATCAACAAAAACATCTGCCTTTTCGTTGAATTATTCGAAAACTAAGAACCATTTACAACATAATCATTATTTGGAGGACTATCTATGACCGGCGAGATAGTTTATCCCATAAGATGTTGATTATCCACATAAAAACGATAAAAACTCGGGCCCCTGTCTTGCGGCTGATTTTTCCGAAGAAAATTAATAAAAATTCGAATTATCAGGATAATTTTAAATGTAAAGCTCGCATTCGAGTTAGAGAAATTTAAATTTAATGAGTTTGGAATAAATGTAAAGCAACATTTACATGAAGGGAACAAAAACCTTCTCAAATTGTAAAAAATTTCGAAAACTTAGTTGTATATTCTGTGACATTTCCTATCGGTTTATAACTTTTAATTCTATTACAAGTTCCAAATCACCCCCTTCACCCTTTGTTCGCTCTTTTTTTCTCTTAATTTAAGTAGAACTGAAACGTCTGCTTCAACAGGTTAATTTTCATCTTTTCGTCGTCAAGTTTCAATTTAGCGCTTGTTCTTCCCCAGGTAATTCAAAACCGTTTCGGAAAAAACCTCCCGATAACCTGAAACCAAACATTTAAAATCCAGTACCGGTCTGTAGCTACTAAATCAACAAGTAGTTGAAAAATCCGTTAGGGTTTAATGCAGCACAAGAAGATTATATTTATGCCTGTTAGTAGGTACGATGTAGGTCCGTGCTGAAAGCTCGGTAGGTATTCCAATATTTTTAGAACGAGTAGTAGGTAGAAACTGAAGAATAAATGACCTAAAGGCAAGGAAGGTAGTAATTCGACACAATTCAACTATAACACCCTTCGTCGTACAAAAGCACGGGCAACGCACCCCTGGTGCGTACCGCAGCTGAAGAGGTAGAGAGATACAAGCCTCGCTATACCCCTCGCAATAACGAATTAAAATTATGTACGCGTAGAATAGGTACTTAAACAATTTCGAGTTGAAACAACAAAATCGTTATTATTAATTGATAACAGTTGACTGATTTATTGAAATTATTACTGTAAAAGTAAACAAAATGCTTCTTACTTCTGTGAAATTGTTATCGCTTCCCGTGAACATCAAAACAACTGATAAATTTCAAGATTATTTCCAAATACGATAATTAATTAACAATTTTACACAATCGCTTTTGAAAAATTCAAATAACGCAAGTTAAATTTTCAAAGCTGAGACAATAAAATCACGCATTTTAGTACTTAAAAATAAAGAACTTTTCCGAAACGGAAAATCGAATGGTACATTTCATCTTAGAAATCAAAATACTTTTCGAAAAAGTTTAATTCTCACTCTTACAGAAGTGAAAAACTGAAGTGATTTTTAAAAGCTCAAAACCAAATTCGAATTTCACAATAGTTAACTTGAGATTAAACACAGAAACCGAAAGTCCGTACTTTTATATTAAAAACATAGCGGAAACCAATCGGATCGAAAAATCTCTGGCAGAATCGCGAAAATTGCCTGTAAAGCTCGGGAAAACCCTGAGAACTTACCTATTGCTTCCCGAAAGCAGCAAAGAAACGAAATGCCCGTAAACGTAATCCACAAGATATCCTTTCTCGTGTATGTTATCCACATTTTATAGTGAGATCCCTCATGGGACACAAAATATTTCACTTCTTACACTGCCACAGACAAATAAAGAAAACCGAAAAATAAAATCACACACACAACTAAGTACAATACATGTTTTTAGTTCACTTTTGCTCGAAAAAAAGTAATCCTTTTCGAAAAAAAAAAGTGTGCACATATAGAGTGATGTTTTTTTTTTGTTGTTCGCCACAGCCGCCGCGATCACGCGAAGACATACATTCGGCGCAACGGCACACTCGATTCTGTTAAGCGAAGCATTGTTGTCTCGGCAACGCCAAGATGGCCGCCGAACATTTAAGCGTATTACTACGCACAGCTGTCTCCGATCTAGACGATTTTTCGACTACTTTCGACCGAAAACGCACCCCAAAAACTACCCCACAATGTTCTTTTTACGATAACCAACACATTTTCATTGATAATGAGCTCGCTTCGTGGCCTTATCGCTTAAAAAACAGCGTGAGAAAATGCGAGGTTCTATTTTTCGACTTATACTTAAGGAATGTTGCTCGGGGGCAAGGGAACAGACCAATTGGATGCGAGGCGAGCGTTTTTTAGACGACGACAGATCGGTTTTTCCACGAGAGACCATATACAGATAGGCGAATTCCGAGTGCTGAGTTCCAAGCTACATGCTTTCGTATTTTATTTGTAAGCGTGTGCCCCGAGGTATTGGCACTTCCCTTTGACAAAATACTTTTTCGTAAGTCTGTCCAGGTCTGAAACATTGGATTTGTGCTGTCGAAACAACTGCCCGTCGCGTAAAATAGGCGCTAGAGCGAATTTTCGTGGAGACTCCAACGGGCGATCAGGCGACGAACCCGCACGATATGCGAATTTTTTCGCATTTACGCAAAGTTTTACATTTCAACGCGTAGCTGGGATCAATTTCGAAGGTTTTTTGTACAAATTGACGGTGAAATCCTACAAGAAAAACTACCGCAAAAATTTTTATTGATGAAAATTACAATAAAATCAAAAATAGTTCTGTGAAATCAAACTAACTTGAACAAAACCCCAAATTTCATATAAAATGTTGAACGCGTTTCTACATCTAAGTAGACATCCTGATGTCAATTTTTTGGTAGGATGGAGGGAGCAAGGGTTATGATAGGCTATATATACCTATGAATTGTAGGAAAAATAAACATGTTTTGCAAAAGATTAAATATTCGTTTAATGTCTAAATTAAAACATTAGAATTTTGTGTTTCTTGTGAAATTATCGATCTCTGGGGGTCGACTCCTAACTGCAAGGGGTCCATGTCACCGAAAACAAAAATTGTAAATATAGGGGTTGCTTTTAATAGACATATAAATTATGGTTTAAAAGTTAAAATGTTTAAAACATAAGGGTTTATAAGAGTGTGAAGGTTTAGAGATTGAATTAGGGATCTTTATGGTTAAATTATGAAAAAATAAGTATCAAAACATTTGATATTAAATTATATATGGGATAATATAAGTTTGACTCGACATTTGATTATATTTTACCTGAGTCTCATAGGGGGCAGATGTGCCCTACACCCGTTTAGGGACGTGTTTGCACCAAGGCGTTTTATGCGGTTTTTGGTATTTTAATTATTTGATAAAAATTACAGTAATATATTTAGGAATAATTCTATAGACTCCTGTAAATTTACTAATTTTAAGGGTTGTCATTGGTTATTTTTGGATTATAGGGTGTACTGTAACTTATATTAACATTTCGGTTTACTTTGCCATCTTGGTGCTTCTTATGTTCCCCCTTAGTACCCCTTCCATTTGTTCTGTTTATTTGATTTCAATACTACGTTCGTATGTTCAGTTCATCAAACAATTTTATAATTAATATTATTGGTTATTATATTTATATTTTTTTTTTGGGCAGTACGTTAAATTGTTTTTTCTCTAAAAACAATGAAATTTTTCTCTTGGAAATAAGCGACAAAACTATTATCTAATTAGGAAAGATTACTTAGCACTTCTGCTAAGAATTGCAGTTTCTGCTCTTGTTTATTGGATTTTAAAATTTGAAATTTAAAAAGCGCGTAAATAAAGATAATGGCCGACATTGGCAACAATACTGCAACAATTAAAAAGTATAATGGCCGACCACTGCAACAATTAAAACAGTATAATGGCCGACATCGGCAACAATATCGTAACCATGGAGAAACCAAGATGGCCGACCAAATAGTAATCGTATTCAATTGTCCCGTGGAAAATATTCGTAATATTTGCAAGCATTTTTTATATATTAGAGACATTAGTATACAACTTTATCCATATGTGTTATATGCAAAAAAGCTTGATCTATCCGATGGTCTCAACGAATTTTCAATCGGACATCAAATAAATAAGTCATGGCGCTGTAAAGTAACCTCTGTTTTCGTCAAAACAGAAAACTCGCGCCCTTTGAATGTTTACTTTAAAAAAATTGAGCTTCATATTTATGTAGGAAGTCGCTGGCATTTATATCCTTTTGAAATTTCCAATTTCGAACTTTAACAATTGAAATACATATATGTACGGTGGTCAAACAGAATAGATCAGAATAACTCATTCGGAAGTTTCTTAATTAATTAAAATTTTCCTCTATTATCTACTAAATATATTATACACATACGTATCAAATTATTGAACTAGCTTGCCATTTAGATTATATTGCAACTTAGTTGTCCAATGGGTTGCCTACCCACCATAAAAATAATTGAATCAATTATTATGTTAGCTTGGGACATATGGAAACTAGGACAAGGTATTCAATAACGTTGTTTTTCGTAAAAGAACTGAAATTGAAAATTACGGTAATTTTTTTGACTTTTCTATTAACATATAATGATATTAAAAGAATTGTTTCCATGTTCAAGACTTTCTGTTGTATTGAAAATCATTATTGATTGCTTTGGATGAATTGTATTATACCGAGGTTGTGTGCAACGTTACTGTTTATCATGAGTTTTTTATATTGTTTGTGACTTTGAAAGAGACGTTTTTATCGAAGTAAAGAGAACACCTTTTCTACATAAATACTAAATAATATACATTTAGGTTTTAAATTTAGCTCTATATTAATATTATTACTACAAGAACATTTAAATTTAATCCTTGATGTGATACTTGAATTCTTCAATCGATTAGGGTTTTATCAATGATAAAGTATTTGTGTACGAAGGGCCTATACCTATATACGCCAGTTACAACAAAATTTAATAAAAATTTACAATTGTTTAATTTGAACACTTTTACTTTATTTATTTATTTTTAAGNATAATTGATAGAGATCTTTAATACTTTGTGAAGCTTTTCATTCCGTGATAACTGGAAGCTTTTTTAATTAATTTAATTTTTTATTATTTCTGTAAATGTTCAATACATCATTTAAACGTTAGAAATAAAACATTATTTATTGTTTGTTCGACTTTATTAGGACAATTTCGTGATGTATAAACAAAATTTATGTTCGGTTATTTAGCTTTGTTTAAGGGGAAATCATAAAAATTACTAAAACCAATGTGAAAATTCTTTTATCGCTTGAAAGCTGCGCTATACCGTATGATTGTTGCTTATTTTCAATATTTAGTTGATATATATAATTAAGATTATTAAAATTTCGTCTGTAGTTGAGAATACTTTTCCTTTGTCGAGCGTAATTTTCTTTCCTTTGTTATCCGAATACTTACTCTCTCTCTGCCAGTGAAATCCTTGAACAGTCGGTCGAGAAGAAAATATTTATTTCCCTTGTCTTAATTTAAATAGCAATTAAAAATTAATTTTAAATGTTGATAAAGTATTTTTGGACAAATGAAATTCGCGATTTTCGTACTTATCTATTGTAATGTTGTAAACAAAACGTTGGTTTGTTTCTTTAGTTTTGTATAAGGAACAAGCGGAAATCTCAAAAATTACTGAAACCTATATGAAAATTCTTTAATCGCTACAAAAAATGGTTACTGCATACTTTAAATATTCAATTGGCATTTTTAAACTTAACAAAATTTCATCTGTGACTGAGAAAAAGCTTTTTTTCCGAGTGTAATTTTCTTTTCTTTCTTTTCCGAATACTTGCTCTCTCTGCCAATCAAAAATATTGCTTAAAGGATG